GATCAACATGTGGTCGGATATGTACTTTTGGCAGGTGACGCAGCTAGGTTAGATCGTAATTTATTAATCAATTAAAAACATAAGTATATTTTCTCTCAGCAGCATGATACAATAATAATAATAACAAAACATTAATAACACATATCAATTAAATCAAACTTGTTTATTAGATTCCTAAAAATAAATTTCGTCATTTTAATTTAATTTAAATTATTAACTTATTTATTAATACCCTGTACGTAAAAACAATATTTTTATTAACAAATGCTATATAAATCCTCAAATTTGATTTTCCTATTTGTGTGACGAGCAAATAGGAATAAATTCCAGAAAATCGTGTTATACATAAAATTGATTGAGACACCGACCATCATGATAAGGATCAATAATGGCATCTCCTGAACTTGAAGAACTCTACCAGAAACTTCAACATGTTACGAAAATCACTCCAAATTATGCTCAAGTCCCGGTCGAGTTAGGGTTTAATTGGGATGAAATAGCAGAATCTGCTAAAGACGTTGAAGGGGAATTTTATTTAGTGGCATTTAGATCTACTCGTAGGGCTGACGCCGATAATAAATTGCTATACGAGGCTGATGATAAAGCTTATGATGAAGCAAAACTTAGTGATGGATTTGTTAAGGTAATACACATTTTATTTATCGTATATGATTTTACTAGTAACTCTAAATTTATTCATTCTAAAGTACTGGTGTGGAGAATTGAACGAACGTCGAGAGTGTTTGTCGTTTTGCATTTGGGCAAATCACGATTGCGCTCGAAAATCGGCATCGAAACCACATCATGCAGTTGCCATTAACTTGGCCGCTAGTATGTATGAAAACTATGTCTTGGAAAGATATATTTTTAGAAAAGTAAAAGGCGAATCTAAATTTAAGGTCGAAAAAATTGATATAAAATCATAACGTCAGGGATAAAGATTATCTTTCGTAAAAGTATACATTTTATTATTCACAATGTCATTTATACAGTATATGTCAATTTTCCACATAATTATATGAACGATTATTTTGAAGCGGAGATGGAGTTTTGAATCCTAAATACTGTAATATACGTAGTCCTTATTGCCTTTAAAAATATCGACACACTGTATATATAACAGATACGTAGTATGAAATGTACGCATACAACTAACTGAATATAAGATGGTTGAGTTATAACGATAAAGATAATAATATAGAGAGACTACCCAGAGTGTACCTACATAAAAACTTTTTTATGAAAATAAATAACTTACTTGCCTGGAAGTGTGCATTAATGGAAGAAAACAGCGTATTTAGGGAGTGAATCATAAATATTATCCAATTGAAAATCGTTGCACGTAAAAAATAAATACCATTTATTCTTCGATTCAATATTCTAAAGATGAGAAAACAAGAACAGATTTAATATATGTGAGACTCTAAAAAAGGTTTCGAAGTTATATTCACCTTCAGAAATTACAAGGTCTAATTGTGTGGTTTTATATACTATATATACAAA